TTAGCTTTGGCTCTGGTTTGATTTGTCAAAACTTGAAGTGCTATTTCCATGATTTTTTTAGGAGTTTTTGCTGTCCAGATGCGAATGTTAGCTTATCAATCCCATACTGGTTTCTCCTTTATATCGTCACATGTGCAGAGTGCACAACAGAGATTCAGTGGTTAGGTTTCACTTTGCAAAACAGACTCGGCATGCTATGCTATGCTTTTCATGTGGTTGCTACTTTAATCATGACCAACCTGGTCATTGCAAAGCACCTGCCAATTGAAGAAGGTAGCTTTCTATACTTCTTGTTGAACCAGTTGTTAGCTTTATATTGTTGTTTCTCCTTTATTAATAGTTGGATAACGTGGATCTTGCTTTGCTTATGGTCCAACCTGGGTTTTCCTTTATTAATAGTTGGATAATGTGGATCTTGCTTTGCTTATGGTCCAACCGGGGTTGATGCGGAAATAAGATTGTATAAGTGTATGTTATAATTGCTAAGGGCGACATAAGATAACTACACTAGCTTTTGAATTTGCAGTCTCATTTTATATGCATCAGCAGTTAAAAGTTAAGATTGTAGGCGGGTCTTCATGTGTGGTTCAGATCTGCAACACATCAGATTTGCATTGGATTAAACTGTTAAAAGATTCAGATTTGATGGCAGTAAGTAATATTTGGGCTTGAAGAAAACAATGTATCACCATTCCTAATTTTTCCATGCTATTCTGTTCCTTAGAATTCACCTTGTCTTCTGCTGTTATTTGATAGGAAGGAAAGAAGACCTGAATATCCATTCTGATGGGCCATATTGTCCCTTTTCTCATAGAATAACTGGTAGTTCTGCCTTTTGTTAGCTGTAGTGGTATACAATCTGGATTCCTTGTTACCGAATCCCAGACTATGGTACTTTGTCACAGTTTGGGTACATAGTGCGGGTGATATTTTCACCAGGTTACTGGAAATCTCAGTGTCCCCTTCAGAAAGCATAAATTATTTGAAACTCAAGGAACAAGGACAGTTCTCCTGTCAAATCCCCTTTCTATCTCACTCTCTTTTCAGTCTTAAATTATTTGGAGGAGTTTTTCTTATTTTTAATGATGCTGGCTTAACTAATTTGTCTAGTTGTGGCTTCTTAACTATGCTTACTATTTCTTGCATTCTTTTCTTTCTTTCCTTTTCCTTTGGTCAAGTAGCATAGTATTCCATGCAACATGCACAAAGCTTGTAGTGAAGGTCTTCAACTTGCAAGCTTGATTGACTTTTTTTATTTTTTTCATAATTTATCACCATTACTTGTGCCTCGTTATGAAATTGAATTATTGACTTCAGTGTAAGCATTCAATTGCAGTTTATTGTCTGCAAGTTTTGATTAGAAAACATGAATATTGACATGACTTATCCAGAGTCAAAAAGGTTGATGATTAACCTCTTTGCAGATGAAAAGCGGATGTAGGCCTGGTGAGGTTGTTTGGAAGATGTGACAATTAAGAGAATGAGATTTCTTTTGCCAAGATGGAGCGAGTTTAGGTAGGTAACAGATAGGGTTCTCCTTACTCCCAGCACCCTGTTGATGGTTCCAAGCATCAAGCAGAGAAATGTGCTTTGGTTATCTAATTCATCTGTTTTCTGCGATCTCATTCATTTCCTATAAAGTTTAGAGGCCTAGTGGATGTGATCATTTTTTTTCCCTCTGAATGCTGAACATAGATGTCTTGATCTATAACAGTGTTAAGTTGCACTCCCGATGCTGACCAATATCTGACTGGATGGTGAGAAATTAGCTTTTCACACAGAATCCCAGTGTCATTATTTTTAATTCTTAGATTGAGAGCACTTGTCCATGACTGAGAAAAAAAGTTCAAAAATTTCATCCCATAAGTTTGGAATGACTTTTTCTTCTTCTTTATTCTCTCATATATTTACCATTCATAATCAAAATAATGTTCTGTTTTTTCTTCTGGTATTATATGGCTCTAAGTTGCTATACGATACTCTAAGGGAAATATGCAATACTGATGCATATGGGCAACTACAAATATTCCAATATTGGGTTCTCTGTGATTGAAATATTTAAAAGATTTGGTGGATGAACATTGAGCCCTCTTAAATTGCGCAAAAAGTGGGAAATGCTGATTGGAACAGTTGATGAGGGAGGACAATAAGGCATGATGAGAAAATAGGAAGGACTTTTAGTTGTGTAAAGATGCTGTTGCTAAGGTGATGAGATTGATGACAGAGTGGTGCCACAAGCAGAAGGGGTAATGAGGAAAATGTTCCAAAAGGCACATGATACAAAGTGAAGCTATTGATCAGGAAGTGCTTGAGTTGTGGTTCTGCTGATTGGAGAGAGGGTCCAGTGCGAGGTTGTTAGGAGTAGTTGAAAATCAAGTTTTGTGCCAAGGTGCAGATAGAGAAAGGGATTTTAGCACGTGAGAATGCTCAAGACAGAGCATAAGGGTATGCACGGACTTGCGTAGTGAGTTTAATGCATATTTTACTTCGTGGCTGCATTGGCTTTCTAAGATTGTTGTAATTTTTAGTCTCCTCTGGCATATGTGATGCTCATTTTATGGTTTTGTATCTCTCCAGATTTGATGATCACTCAAAAGAAAGTTTATTGAAGAATGCTTTTATTATCTCCATATAAAAATTGCATGTAAGATGATAACTTGAAGTTCTGGAATTGTCTGTGATTGGAAATTTTTCCGAGTATGATTACTGATTGATTTGTGACACATTGACATTTAGAATTATGATACTTGGCTGATAGAAATGCGGTTGAACAACACCCACCAGTCAGGTTGCCAAGTAGCATGAGTAATTTTTGATAGAGAGAAAGAAGCAGAAATAAAATGGTGAATCTTCTGAAGGTTTTCCCCCTTGAGGCTAGAAAGAAACAGTTGAGAATGATATCCTGAAGAGGCAAAATCCATAAAAGAAAGTTCTGGAGAGTTTTCTTTAGGTTTTCCCTGTAAATTGCAGATTGTAAATCACTAGTGGAAACTATTCATTTAAGAAGCTAAAGCTAGAGATTGTCATTTGCCTTCCTTTTTATCCTTGGTCTTGTGTTGTTTTACAGACCTGGCCTGTCAAGGGGGAGCTTGTTATAGTTGAGAGACGTTACCCTTCAATTTTTCAGAGTAAGATCGTCTTTGAAATCCTTGTTCAACTCATTTTTTCTTCTCCAACTATGGTCTTGGGCTTGTGAAACCGGCTACCAGGTAAAGAAATACCTCAGAAATTTATATGGCAACAAATAATAATTTCATAATTAGAAAAATTGTTGATCATTCATTGCTGATTGACTGGTGTAATGTTATAAAGATGTGAAAAATGCCTTTTCTTTATAATAATGCTAGAGATACCAAGTTTCTCACCATCTATTTGACTAGGACGTAAGCAATTCGTATAGGCGCATAAAATTCAATGATAACAAGTATTCGTGATTTTAGGATCCAAGCCACCATGATCTGGAAAACTTTTCCAAAAGAAGCTTTGCATCAGTTAGTATAAAGATTAGAAAAAAAAAAATGAAGTTTCCCTGGAATTGCTCTTAGAAATGCTGGGTTGTAGGAGTAGGCTGCAACTGTTGCAAAACAATGCTTGAGTTCTTTGAATGGTGAGGGAAATATAGCTGTTGCTTCATGATGGGTGTTAGCTGTAATCTTGATTGCACCATCAAGTGTTTGGAAAAAAGAATTATAGCTGCTGATTCATGTTGTGTAATGGAAAAACAAATGTAGTAAATCTAAAACTTTAACTATTAACAAATAATAGATTCACAATTGTTTTTTTTTATATTTAACTAAGAACTACAATATATATATCGTTAAGAACAATTTATTCTTGAAATACAACAAGATTAAAGAAGAAGTATTTGAGAAAAACTTACAATATTAACAATTTTATTTTCTGTCAAAACAACCAGTTTTCACACCATTAAATTTTTATCTAACCGCTCAGAATGAAGAGTAATGTTTCTAGAAACTACTGTTAAAATCTCAGTTCGATTTAATAATGAACGAGTTGAAAATCAAGAAAAAAAAAACAAACTATTTTATTGCCTTTTTTTCCTTTTTTTCCCTTTTTTTTGTTGTTTTTTTTTGTTCAATAAATGCTACTACCTCTCCAAACTATTTAATTTAAAAAAAATTAATGTTGTAGTCCTATCATCATATAGTATGGAATTACACACAAGTTAATTATTTTTAATTTTTTCTTGTGTAAAAATTAAACTTAGAATTGCATTGTAAAAGGTTTTTGTTCCTCGAACATGATATGATTTGTCTTATGTCTGCAATGTTACTTGATTTGGAGTTGTTAAATAAAAATGAATTAACTGGTTTCTACCTAATGGTTGAGCTTCCAAGGTTCTTTTCTTATTCAAGTTTGGCAATGGATTGTTGGTTATTAGCAGAACGTTCAACAAAAATGTGTAAAGAATAATATGTGTGGGGTTCACATTATTTCTCTGGCCTCGAATGAGAGGCTTTTCTACGTTAAATGTTTTAAACGGTATTTCATGAAAAAGTAAAAAAATTATTTTTTATATTTTTTTTATATATTCATATTAAAAATATATTTTAAAAAACAATCCTCCCACTATTTTTTTTTTCAAGCAACTTAAAAGGAGCCAACCAAGTTTTTGTTACCAGGAAACTGCGTTAACAAATTGGGAAAACGCGTGTTTGGTCACCAATTCGTATGACAAGAACGGAGCCTGCAATTCTCAACATAGTTTTAGAATTCAGTCATTAAGTTAACATCAGATCAATTATTTATCTAATTATTTTATCCAATACAAAGCTATTTTGACATTCTTTTAACGTTACATTTTTTATTTAGTCAACCCAGATGGATATCATTTAATAACTATGTTTTTTAATTCTAAACATTTAGTCAGTAAAAATAAACACTGTCAAATGAAGAAAGAATAATATTAAACCTTTTAACGGTCAAGCATGCTTTATGTTTCTTCTTCTTCTTCTTCTTCTTCTTCTTCTCAAGAAAACAAGAAATAGAAAAAAAAAAAACATGGGTGGTGCCTTGAGCTCTTGCATATGCTCAAACCACTTCTTCTCAAGAAAACAAGAAATAGAAAGAAAAAAAAAAACATGGGTGGTCCCTTGAGCTCTTGCATATGCTCAAACTAATCCCTGGAGTTCAGTTTCGATTGAACCAAATCTCTTGCTTCCAGTGTCTTTTGTCGAATTGATTCCTCTTAGATGACCACCAAGTTTCTACAACGATGTAAGTAAGAAATTTGGAAGTTGAGGATCTAAATTAACTAAAAATAAAACATAGTGTTTGGTTTGACCAAACGTTGATACTCGAGGGACCATGCATGGTATGCAAAATCCCTTTTCTGTCCTGAGTATCTTCGTGCTGAATTCAGGAAAAATTGGTTGAACAACGTTTCAATAAAACCCACCGTCGGATCACTGAAACGATGAGATGGCAAGATCAGGGACGATCAACACTGTCCCACAAGCGATAACCCCCAACAATAATCTAATTCCTAACACAAACCTAAATGCATCGTCAATTACGATGGTTGGCTCTCCTACCCCAACCACATGCCTTTAATACACAACAAGTACGAGCACTTGCCTACACGGTACACACTGCTGTTTCTATTATTTGTCTTACGGGGACATCGAAGTGCCAAATCCCATTTGGAGCTTCAGTTCCGAGTTCCTAGTTCCGTCTGAATCTTGAACAGAATCCTTTGAAATTCAAAGGGTTTGCTTTTTCTGACATTTGGCGAACCGTGTCTCTCTCATTTGATCTTCATAATGAAGGTGACCGTAGTTTCTCGCAGTGGTAGAGAGGTCATTAAAGGGGGCCTTGAGCTTAGTGATTCGGTATGCTTATTACACGTTTTCTGTCTTGTATGTATTATTACTATGTTTGGTTGATAGGAAAATGAAGGGAAAAAGACTTGAGCGTTTTGATTTGTAAATTTCTTTGTATTGGTTGTCTTGTAGGCAACAGTGGCTGATCTGCAAGAGGCTATTCATAAACGAAGGAAGTTCTTTATTCTGCTCCTCTCGTTATGTAAAAAGGATTGAGACTTTGGTTTTAAATTACTTTCAGGATCTTAGTATGGTTTGAGTTTTGATTGGAGATGAAAAACCGAAACTCTTAGTATAATTTAATTCACAAATTTTGATTAGATAGGAAATCCAAAGGAATTCAAAGTATGCCATGGGTATTGTTTCTTCGCAGAAGCGCATGAATCATGATGCTTTCTTAGAGATATCAGTTCCTTTGTTGGAAATTCAACTTTTGGAATTGGCAAGCTGCTTTTTTCTGCTTTATGGTGGTGTTAGAGTTTGTAGATTTGCTTGGGGTGCCTTATGGTGGAGAAATATGCATTTTGGTTCTTTTTCCTCACTGTAACAGCTTTATGGTGGTGTTAGAGTTTGTAGATAAATATGCATTATGGTTCTTTTTCCTCACTGTAACAAGTGCTGCTGGAATTGGTTTTCTTGCCCTTGACTGTGTCATTACAATGGTTATTATATTTGAAGAAGGTTCTGTTGTTGGATTTGAGTTTTATTATTTATTTATTTATTTTCTTTGTACAGTACTCAATTTTGTTCTCTTTATCATGAAATCATGTTGGGTTTTGCGTTGATTAGTTTCTTTAACGCAAAAAGATTCTAAAAGTTTTTTGATTTGATGTCTCATACATCATTGAGATGAAACTCACAACATCGGGGTTGTGATTTTCTTTTTTTGGTTGGCTAGGGTGTGTTAGTAGTGATGTGGAACGGGTTTGATATGTGATCCTTAAAATTGAGAACAAGAGCTCAAAAGCATGAAACTAGATCTGAACTTTGAAATTTTTGTTGACAAAATTCAAATTTATGTCTGCTTTCATTTGTACACTAGCCCCTACTTTTTTTGATCCCTCCCCCAAGGAGCCACATGTACATGGGAGTGTTGTGTATGCAGTTGGACTGTTGGAGCATCAAATGCAATTTTGTTTCCATAACCATTTCTGCATGTCTTACATCAACAGCCAAAAAATTCTACCCTGCAAGACAGCGACTGACCCTACCTCTTCCACCGGGATCAAAGGAAAGGCCCACTGTACTCAACTACAAGAAGAACCTCAAAGAATACCAAGATGGAAATTTAGACAGCATAACTATTCTTTTCAAGGACCTGGGTCCGCAAGTTTCCTATCGCACACTCTTTTTCTGTGAATACTTGGGTCCTTTGGTGCTCTATCCTTTTTTTTACTACTTCCCAGTCTACCAGTTTTTGGGCTACAAGGGAGAGCACATCATGCACCCAGTTCAGACATATGCATTGTACTACTGGTGCTTCCACTATTTCAAACGCATCATGGAAACATTTTTTGTGCACCGATTTAGCCATGCAACCTCGCCACTCTCCAATGTGTTTCGAAATTGTGCTTATTATTGGACTTTTGGTTCCTATATCGCTTACTACATGAACCATCCACTTTACACCCCTGTTGGTGATCTTCAAATGAAGATTGGCTTTGGCTTTGGCTTGGTTTGTCAACTCGCAAACTTTTATTGCCATATCTTGCTGAGGAATCTTCGCCGTCCAGATGGGAATGGCGGCTATCAAATCCCAAGTGGATTTCTCTTCAATATTGTTACATGTGCGAATTACACAACAGAGATTTATCAATGGTTAGGCTTCAACATTGCAACCCAGACTGTTGCTGGCTACATTTT